AAGCATGATGCTTCCTCTGGGCATTAAAAGCTCCAAGCATGATGCTTCCTCTGGGCATTAAAACCTCCAAGCATGATGCTTCCTCTGGGCATTAATACTTGTTCCTTTGCTTAAGCACTCTCTTTCAAAATCTTCTCATGGCTCCTTCCCTCTTTCATTCAAGAGTCTCCTCAAATGACCGCTCTGCAAAGAGGCTATTCCTGCAGTCCTATCTGAATTGGCACCCACACATAATCCCACTCCTCATCTTACCTCACCTTCTGTAACTACCTGCCATTTTGTTTTTTATTGGTTCACTCCCTCCATGAGGACAGAAATGCTTGTTTTATTTAATGTGCAATCCCAGTAACTAAAATAGTCCCTGGCACATAATAAACACTCAATGAATATGTTAAATGAATGAGTGAACACAAAGGTTTCCCAGAAGATCCTGAAATCAAGGGTTGTGTGAGACTAGAGACAAGAAAGGGGTCAACCTCCACTATAGACCCATGCTCTGTTAAAACCTAGGCCCCGGACATTACCTTGTGGCTCCATAGACCCAGACTATAGACACATTTTCCAAAGTGATGAGAAGGAGGGTGGAAAGATTTAACCAGCAGCTACTCAGCAGGGTCATGAAGTAGTAGCCCGAAGGTCGAGTGAAGAAGAGGCCACACAGGAACATGAGCACAGAGACACTCACTGGAGAAAGCAATGATATTGGATCAAGGTCAGAAGCTGACTGGGTGACCAGGGCTGGGTTAGGGTCCTGGTGGAATCAGGAGGAGTAGGACTACAAGTCAGAATACCTATGAGCATCTTTGGATGTTTTCTGAAGAGAGAGACGGTATCCTGAAGTGGAGTTATGATGCCCTGCATGACCCCGACCATGGTAGTCATCCCCATGAACAGGTACATAAGGAAGAAGAGGATGGACCAGTAGGAGGACCCAGGAACGAATGACATGGCTTCCACAAAGACTAGGTACACAAATCGTGTGCCTTCCTTAATCTATAAGTAAAGAAGGTACAGACAAATGAACGTGTAATCTTTTCTAGAAACCTCCCTGAAAGCCCCAAGTCTCTGAGAAAATCAGCTCTCAGAGCTGAACCCGACAGGGAAAGTGAATGTATTTCACATTTTCCATGGAAATGCACCCCGCAAACTGCAACTCTTGTCATTCCCAGGACTGCAGACCAGCCTGGTGCTGCTAATAAAAGCTGCAGTTTCTGGTGGATAAAAGACTCTGAGGAATTCCAGCCCCATCCCCTCAGCTGCTGCTACTGACCTTTGAAAGCTGATCCATTATGTCGCAGTCAGACACCTTGCTGACTATTATCTTCTTGATAGAATGAGGAAGGCTTTCTAGCCAAGTGGTGTATGAAGAGCTTGGGTTATGAAGCACATTTGCAGGGGGCTTGGCTTCAGGAGGTAGTACCCCCAAGGATATCAATTTCAGGAGTGTTTCAACATTCCTGGGGATAAGATGTGAGATCACATCAAATCATTTTGCCTCTTAGTAGACTGACTACTCTTCCCTTATCTTCTAGATGAAAAAGGATTAATTATCATTAGCCTAGAACTAATTATCTGAGTAACATAGAATCTGCAGTGAAAGGGTGGACAGCATTCAGCTTCAGGGCCACGAGTTTGTATGTGTGAGTCTGAAGGATTTATGATCATGAAGTACTTGAAAAGAAGCCTTTCCTGTAGTCTTCTTGGGAACTCTGGGATGCTTGCTCTAGTAATTTTTGTTGCTGTTATTAAGTGCACTCAAGTCGGTGTCAATCCATAGCAACCCTGTATAGGGTTTATGAGGAACCACTGGTGGTTTGAATCACTGACCTTGTGGCCAGCAGTTCAGTGAATATCCTACAGCGCTACACCAGGATGGGGGTTGTTATATAAAACACCAGAGCCTGACCCAAGTAAGGATTCAAACAGAAGGCCCATTCTCTTTCAAATCTGCCCTTCAAAGAACTCGACTTCAGTAGAAAAGATAAACCAGAAACTTGCACCCAATCCATCCACACAGAATTGATAAGAAAAAGAGACAAATCAACACTTAGACTTGGGGACTTCAACAATCTTTTCAGTAATTTATAGAAAAAGTTGGCAATAAACAAGAAAGTATACAGATTTGAACATAAATAGCAACCAACTTGATCTAATGGACATTTATAGGATACTCCACCCTCCAACAGCAGAATATATATAATAAAGCACATGCGAAATATTCTCCATGGTAGACCATACGGGAGCCATGAAACAAGTATCAGTAAGAGAAAAGGATTGTAGTTGTGCAGTATATGCTCTCTGACCACAATGGAATTGAATTTTAAATAATTAACAACAAAAAGATGAACCCTGCCCCCAATATGGTATTTAAACATGAAATAAAAATATGAAAACGTTTTAAAAAGCAGGTGTCAATGAAGAAATCACAAGGAAAATTAGAAATTATGAGCTGAAAGAAATGTAAACACTATATATGGTGATGAGAAAACTGGTATCCACAGACTAAGTTAGAGCCTTGCTTTATACCATTTACAAAAGTCAACTTAAAATGGATCAAATATCCATGTTTAATAAAACTCATAGAAGAAAGCTTAATGGAAAATCTTCATGACCTTGAATTTGGAAATGGATTCTGAAATAAGACACAAAAGCATGAGCAACAAAAGAAAACACTGATAAACTGAAGGTGATTAAAATTAAAACCTTTTGTGCATCAAAGAGAGTGAAAAGATAAACCACAGAATGGAAGAAAATATCTGATCAAGACAATAGCTAGAATATATAATGTGCTCCAACAACCCAATAACAAAAACATAAGCAACCAATTAAAAAGCATTAGGGTGACTAAGTTTAGCACCAGCACCAACAACAACAACAGTTGGAGAGGCGCTATGGAAATTGGAACACTTGCCCACAGCTGGAGTGAAAGCAGAATGATACTGGCATTTTGTGCCTCAAAAAAATTAAAAGCAGAACTACCGATGGACTCAGGGATTCCTCTTCTAAGTATGAATCTAATAGTCTTAAAAGCAGAGGCAAAAACTGAGATTTGTACACCAGTGTTTACTGCAGCACTATTTACAATAGCCAAAAAGTAGAAATGCCCAAAAGCGACACTGATTAAATTCTTCAAGTTGTGCATTCTCTCCTTCCTTTTCTGAATTGTTCCTCCTCATTAACAGCAATCCGCTGCCCCTTCAGGCTCCTATGTAATATTTCAAGTTGTCATCTGATCGCACATCAAATCTAAATGCCCATCACCAGATGAATGGACAAACAAAATGTGGAAAACACATACAACGGAATACTGTTCAGCCAGTAGAAGACATGAAGTCTCGATACATGCTACAGTGTGGATGGAGCTGGGAGACATATTGAATTAAATAAATCAGACACAAAAGGGCAAATATCATATTATCTCACTTATATAAAAGGACAATAAAGTGCAAAAGCATAGAGAACCAAGGTTATTAGTGTTTACCAGAGGTGGTTGCTGTTGTTAAGTTGTTAAGTGCCATCGAGTCAATTCAGACTCATAGCAACCCTCTACAGAGTTTCCAAGGAATGAGTGGTGAGTTTGAACCACCGACCTTGCGGTTCAAACTGACCTTGAGGTCGAGTGCTTATTTTATAGCAGCTCCACACCATAAGTTCACCAGCAGTGGTTGTTGTTGTTAAGTGCCATCGAGTCAGCTCCGACCCATAGGGACCCTGTATAAGGTTTCCAAGGAGCAGCTGGTGAGCTTGAATCGCTGACCTTGCAGTTCAAACTGCTTTGCAGTCTGGCGCATTAACCCACAGCGCCACACCAGGACTCCCAGCAGTGGAAGGGAGTGGGAAAGTGGAAGTTAATGATGAAAATGGTGCCTTAAGGGTCGGGTTGCTCAGGAAATTACTATAGTTGCTTATGTATAACAAACATCTCCTGAGATTTGCTTTCTTTGTTTGGAGTGTTAGGCTCCTGTTTACGTGAGACATCCCAGTTAGTTGGCCTGTTAACATGGTTAGTGCTTCTGTTTTACCTCCTACTTTGTTGTGTAGTGTCTGGAATCTTAAAAGCTTGCAAGTGATCATCTAAGGTACAACACTCAGTATCGGTTCACCTGGAGCAGCAGGGGAAATCAGAGTATAAGGACTAGAAAGAGAATACTGAATATGTTGCTAATTGCCTCCATGAACAACTGCCTCCTTTCCATGAGACCAGAACTGAGTGGTACCTAGCTACCTTTACTGAATATTAAGATCAGAAATTCTATGGAAAAACCCTGATCAAAGTGGAAGAAAATTCAGAACAGAATTTTAAAATCTCCTGAATTCCAGACTTCCTGGAGTCATAAAAGTTGATTGAACCCCTGAAACCAGAAACTAACCAGAGATAATCTTTAAACCCTACACCAAAACTATCTCCTGACGTCTTCTTAAAACCAAACAATAGTTTAGCTTAGCTAGGAAAATCAGGCTGCCTTGAGCATTATGTTCTTTTTTAAAACTGTCTATATGCAATCAGATGACAACTTGAAATATTACATAGAAACCTGAAGGGGCAGCGGATTGCTGTTAATGAGGAGGAACAATTCAGAAAAGGAAGGAGAGAATGCACAATTTGAAGAATTTAATTAGTGTCACTAAATGGACAAAGAATTTGAATAGATATTTCTCCAAGGAAGGCATACAAGTGGCCAAAAACACATGAAAATATGCTCAACATAATTACTCATTAGGAAACTGGAAATTAACACCATAACAGAATGCCATGTTCACACCTACTAGGATGACAATAAAAGAGCTCTGAATCTATCAGCTGCTCCACCGGAGACAGCCTCGGAAACCCTATACAGGATAACTACGAGTTGGAAGCGACTCCACAGCGCACTTCCACCATCAACACCAGGATGACAATAATCATAATAAATAATAATAGAAAATAACGAGTCTTGGTGAAGATATAGAGATACTGCAACCCTTCAATTTTTGTGCACTGTTGACTGGAATGTAAAATGGTGTGGCCACTATGGAAAACAGTTTGGAGATTTCTAAAAACTGTAAGTATATATACTATGTTCTTTTAAAAATTCACCTATATGAGACCAAGTGGTCAACAATTACTTTGAAACAAATGAGAAAGTAGTGGGACAGGGAAAGTATATTAATGGAAATGGAACCAACCTCCAGACAGAAATGAGAATGTTCACACCTTGTGAAAAATGTAACCACTGTCACTGAGCAATTTGTGTAGACCGTTGAATGGAAATCTAAATTGAAAACCTTACCAAAAACACAATGTTTTTGTTTTTCAGTTAATCATGGACTTAGCGAGTGATGCGGCAATTCCACTCCTAGACATACACTCAAAAGATAGGAAACAGGGACGCAAGCAAATTCTCCTACAGGAATGTTCCCACCAGCATTATTCACAATAGCCAAAAAGGGGAAAACAATCTAAGTATCCAGCAACAGATAAATGGAGAAACAAAATGTAATATGTACATACACACAATGGATTCATTAGTCAGCCATATAAGGAATGAACTTCTGATATATGCTACAACCTGGATGAACCTAGAAAACATTGTTGTTAAATGCTGTCAAGTCGGTTCCAGCTCCTAGTGACCCTGCGTAGGCTTTCAGAGGAGCAGCTGGTGAGTCTGAATCTCCGACCTTGAGTTCGAGTGCTTATCTTATGGCTATGGCGCCACATGCCAAGTAAATAAGCCAGATACAAAAGGGAAGATATTGTATTGTTCCACTTATGTACACATGGCTAGAACAGACAAATTCATAAACACAGAAAGCAGATTAGTGGTTTCCAGTAGTAGAGGGATGTGGGGGAAAGTCATTGCTAAATATTTTGGGAATAAATAGTAATGATGGCTACACAACATTGTGAAAATAATTAATGCCTCTGAATGGCTAAAATGGCAAATTACGCGCACTCTGTTATTACAACACTCTCATCCACGTCCATGGCTGATGACAGCATTGAGCATGCACGTGAAATGATTCTGTCGAGCAGACAAGCGACAGTGGCAAATCATTTGCAAATCAGCCATGGTTTAGCCTATGAAATCATCCACAACAGATTGGATTTCAAAAAGCTTGTTCAAGATGGGTACCAAAGCAACTCACGAAAGAGCGTAAGCAGAAACGTTTGGACATCTGCAAACAAACTTTGGACCGAAGCTTGAAGGAAGGTAAAAGTGATGAGACATGGATTCATCACTCCGAGCCTGAGACTAAAGGGTGGGGTATGGAATGGAAACATCCCTGATCACCAAGTCAGCCATCAGCTGGAAAACTGATGCTTACAGTTTTCTGGGATTCTCAAGGGTCAGTATTGGAATACTATCAGGAAAAAGGTTCAATAATCAACAGTGCTTGTTACAGTGAGATGCTCATTGAAGAGCTGAAGCCTAAATTTCAGATTAAACTCAGAGGACTGCTATGCAAGGGTGCTGAGATCTTGCTAGACAATACACATATGCACACCTCTGCACACTGTTGACAGTCTGAAAAGGCTTTGTTTTGAGGTATTAAAGCATCCTCCCTATAGTCCTGATCTTGCTCCATAAGACTTTTCACCTGTTTGGTCCCCTAAAAGCAGCCATCTGAGGAAAAACATTCACCTCTGATGAAGAAGTGAAGACAGTGGTGCATTCGTGGCTCACAACTCAGCCTAAAACATTTTTTAATAAGGAAATATAAAAGCTTGTTGACAGTGGGACAAAGTGTATTGAAAAGCAAAGAGATTATGTCGAAAAATTATGTATTTTTGTCTTTTTAAAAAGTTGATTAAAATACATTCTATAGCCAGAGTGCAGATAATTTTTTTACTAACCCTCATATTTATGCATATATATATATATATGTGTGTGTGTGTGTAATGTGGTGGTTCCATATGATAAGCACTGGACGGCAAATCACAAGATCCGTGGTTTGAGCCTGCCAGCCACTCTGTGGGAGAAAGATAAGGTTTTCTCCCACAAAGAGTTCAAACCTCAGAAACCCTTTTAAAATCTCAGAAATCTTATTATGGGTCACTAAGTAGGAACCAACTCCATGGGACTTAACAACATGCATATATGCCAACTTTGTGGCTCGCCGTCCAGTGCTCGTCCTATAATTCCACACCTGGAGTCCTGGTGTGGCACTGTAGGATAAGCACTGGGCCACAAGGTCAGTGTGAACCATAAGGTTAGTGGTTCAAACTCACCAGCCGCTTATCAGAAACCCTATACGGGGTAGCTATGAGGCAGAACCGACTCGACAGCACTTAACAACATACATACACGGGGGAAGACACATATGAAAAAACTTTCAATGTCACTTACAATAAGGCAAATACAGATTAGAACTACATTAAGATACTCTTACTTACTTATCAAAAGATAAAAAATGAAAAGCTTGACAACCTATTTTGTTGACCAGACACTGAAGCAACAGTCATTCTCAGACATGCTGTGGGTATACAACCTTGTGTGTGTGTGTGTGTGTGTGTGGGAACATGTGGTGGGTATACAACCTTGTGGGGGGGGGAACATGTGAACATGTGGTGGGTATACAACCTTGTGTGTGTGTGTGTGGGAACATGTGGTGGGTATACAACCTTGTGGGGGGGGAACATGTGAACATGTGGTGGGTATACAACCTTGTGTGTGTGTGTGGGAACATGTGGGTATACAACCTTGTGGGGGGGGGAACATGTGAACATGTGGTGGGTATACCACCTTGTGTGTGGGGGAACATGTGAACATGTGGTGGGTATACCACCTTGTGTGTGGGGGAACATGTGGTGGGTATACAACCTTGTGTGTGTGGGAACATGTGGTGGGTATACAACCTTGTGTGTGTGTGGGAACATGTGGGTATACAACCTTGTGTGTGTGTGGCAACATGTGGTGGGTATACAACCTTGTGTTTGTGTGGGAACATGTGGTGGGTATACAACCTTGTGGGGGGGGAACATGTGGTGGGTATACAACCTTGTGTGTGTGTGTGTGTGTGTGAACATGTGAACATGTGGTGGGTATACAACCTTGTGTGTGTGTGGGAACATGTGGTGGGTATACAACCTTGTGTGTGGGGGAACATGTGGTGGGTATACAACCTTGTGTGTGGGGGAACATGTGGGTATACCATCTTGTGTGGGGGGGAACATGTGGTGGGTATACCACCTTGTGTGGAGGGGAACATGTGGTGTGTATACCACCTTGTGTGTGGGGGAACATGTGGTGGGTATACAACCTTGTGTGTGGGGGAACATGTGGTGGGTATACAACCTTGTGGGGGGGAACTTTGAAAGACCTAACCCAGCAATTCTGCATTTTATATATATATATAACTTTATGGGCTTGGGTTTATATATCAGCCCAAAATGATGGGCTAGGTCACAACATTAACAAGGGATTGGTTAGGGTGTATAAAACCACCCAATAAGATAAAGTGAACTTGTAGTTAATTACTGTACACATTGAGTGACTGTGGTCTACCAAAGGAATTGGTCAGTGTGTGGTCTAACCATGCCTTGAAATTGAATATAAGAATCAATCACACAGACATTGAAAGGGATGTCAATATAAAGAGGTACCTGGAATGGAGTGCATCCTCTGGACCTAGGATCAATTAAGTGTCATTGAGTCAGTTCTGACTCATAGTGACCCTGTATATAGGGTTTTCGAGGAGAAGCTGGTGAACTTGAACCAGAAACCTTGTGGTTCAAATGGACTTTGCAGTCCGGCGCATTAGCATACAGCACCACCCCAGGACTCCATATACCCATTAGAATGACAAGAATATTAAAATTTGATCATATTATGTGTAGCACAGAAAGTAGGAACAAATGGAATTCTCACTCATTATTTGTGTAATTGGTGAGGTAACTGGCTAAACCACTTTGAAAGCTGCACATTATAAGGTAAAACTGAAGAGTAGATTGAAGGGTAGATAGTGTAGCAGCAGTTCCACTCCTGAGTATGTATCCTAGACACAGGCACCAGGAGACGCAGAGAGGTCCAGGCTTCAGCTAGAAGCAAGTGGGGGCTATCGAGGTGGAGAACATTACTGGGAACAAAGTCAGCTCAGGTTTGCCTTCTCCGGGAAGTCTTCGATGAGTATCCCAGGCAGGATGAATGACCCTTTCCTCTGTCGTACCCACCACTCCTACTACAGGTATCACAAGTTTATGACTGTCTAATTTAGTTGTCAAATTTCTTTCCTCTCCTCCTTTCCAAAGCTGAAAATTCAATGAAGGTGAAGATTGTGGTCTAACCCATCTGGCCCAGGTCTCTATGGTACACTAAGGATATTTTCCAAATGTGTGAATGCTTTTGAAATTAATGCCTAAAGATTACAAAGTAGCAAAGACGGTCCTACTGGGGTTTAACTATGCTAGATTGACAGAATCATCCACATTTAGGAGTCCACAGATCAAAAAGGGGCATTCAGGTAGCTGAGGGTCTTGGACGATTCTCTATAAGGGCGTGACTGTTTACTGTAGATTTGGTACTAATATAACCTTGAATGTTTTCTACCTTTAGCACATCTCTGTGGTGATTCCTGAAGTGAATACTTTGCAATCTCTGAGTCTGAAGATGTCTAGGATTAAATAGAGGGGCTCTGAGGAGGATAATATAAGGGGGCTTCAAAAAGTGTGTGGAAATCCATTATCTTTTAATTTCATTTTTCCACACACTTTTTGAAGCTTCCTCGTATATGATAAAGATTTCTCTTTTCCCTGATTTTAGATTTCTATGGAGATGTCGAGGTTTCCAAGTGCACCTGAGATGTGCGAATATGGGTCATTCTAGCACCTTTACGGCTAGGGTGTCTAGATTTTATAGTTGCCTGAGGCTAGAATCTTCGAACAAGGAGCTGGCCTTACTTCTCTCTGCAGCGCTGTGAGATGATACTGGCCCAGAAGCCCGTAACAGAAAAGGTGACTGTTGTGATAAACAGCAAGGTGCACAGGTTGATCAGAGCCACTGCAAAGGCATCAGTGAGACAGTTGTTGGATGAGGGCATGTACGAGGAGAAGGATGCAATGATGCCAAGGCCTAGGCCCAGGGAAAACAAAAGGTGGTACCCTACTTCGTGAAAAAGTGCTATGAAGTCCATAATCGATACCTAAAAGGGAGAAGACAAGTATAAGAAAGGCTAGAAATGAAGAATGAGAAGAAAACCGTAACAAATGTTCAGGGAAGAGAGGAAAAACAGAGAGAGAGCATGGAGAATGGAGAAACAGAACCTCATGATAGGGAGCTAGAGTGTCTCCCAAGGATTGAGGGAGTTGGGAAAATATACCTCCTTGAAAGTCAGCAAATGTTTAAGGCCAAACAATGCATCTTCCAGTAGTAGACTCCAGATTAGGAAGCAAAAGATGATGAAATAGGGAAGCAACACCAAGACATACATTGCCTGAATTGAGAGACATATTAGCAACCACATATTAGTAGGGGTTCAACAGTCAACAAGCATCTAAAGTTCTGAGTCAGAAACTGATAGACAACAGAAGATAGCTACCAATAAGGGTCAGAAGCTAGTGGGACTAAATGGCCAGAGAAAATGAAAAATGAGGAGAGCAACAAGTTCGGACAGGGCCAGAATATCAGAAATAAACAGAGGCTTACCTTCCCGATGGACTTGAGCCCACTGATCGAGATAACACATGGAAGACAACAAGCCACTAAGAGGCACAGAATCAAATCGGTGTTGAGCCGTCCATGATGCTCAAATGTGTCTGAAACCTTCAAGGTCTTGCGGAACCAGAAGTATATGGTGGGTGTAGTCCGTGCACACTCAGCATCTGGGGGGACTTGACTTTGAATATACCTGTTAAACCAGGTGACCCCTCCCCTCTTTCTTTATTCCCTAGATTACTTCCTCTCTCTTCTTTCCACCTCCACTTTCTTCTTCTTCCTACTCTATCCCACCTTCCTTATCCCTCCACATTCTGTCTCCCCCAAATTCCCTCCCACCTCTCAGATTTCCCCTTTTCCTCTTTCTCTTCCTTCTCACCAAACTGACTGGAGTTCTTCACTAAGGGACAGTTATCCCATGGATGAGGAAACTGGAAGGACTGGCTCAAATAGAAGAGGGTCCAGCAATTGTTTATATTGACCAACAAGCCTTGGAGGAAGCATACCTGAAGGGGAGGCCAAGAGAAGGCAGGCTGGGAAGGAATGGTGGGGGCAGAGAAAAAATGATTGCGCAAAGAATGGGGGAACTGAAGGAACTTGATCCACGGAAGTGAAGTCATCGAACCCAGTCCAAAAAAGGGTTAAAATGGGGGTTGGGGCAAAGGGTAGCTCTGAGCAGCTCAGAGTTCCTTACCATGAAGCTGGTATAACCCAAACCAGTCATCCAGGGGCTGGTGAACTTCCATACACCAAGGTTGCCCTTTCGCACCTTCTGACCAAATGCCATCTCCATGAAAAGGAGAGGGATTCCGATTAAGAGCAGCATAAGGATGTATAAGATGATGAACAGGCCTGTGCAGAGAATTCAAGGAGGGGGTTCTGAGACCCACCTGGCTTTTCAGAGCCTGGATTACTTAAGGGGCCAGGAAATATGTTTTCCACCAGTGATCTCCCTCAGGGCCACAGGCCCTAAGAGCGTAATAGTCCCAGATGTCCAGTCCCTTAGGCCCAATTCCTAGAACATGCATTTATCTAGTTTCTACTCTCATCCCTGACCCAGGTCTCCACCACCTCATAAATAGTCAGACACCCAGCACTTCCACCCTCTCATGTTCTAGGTATTTGGACACTTGGCTCCTAGCCTGCCCAGAAAACCAAGTCTCCAGCCTTGCTGTAACTCAGGTTTTATAGTTTTAAACCTAGCTAGACCTCTAGCCTGCTGTTCCCTGGTGGACCCATGAGTCCTGACCCCAGGCATTAATACCTCCGTTGGAAAGCCACAGGGTATGAAAGGTCCAGAGACTGACTGACCCCATGGAGTAGCCCAGCTGGGCTAGGATATACTCAGTCTTGTTAGACCAGAGTGGACGAATGAGATCCTCATTCTGTTTCTTTGTCACTTGCAGCTTCACAGATGAGGATCCTTTTTTCCAGTGAGAGACATCTCCCATCTCCTCCAACAGAAAGTCTTGGCTTTGTTGGATGCCCCTGGACTGAGCCTCCCAAGCCTTGGTCTCCCAGGCCTCAGCCTTTGCAATCTGGGTTTCAGAAGGAAACGTCGTTACAGACCAGGTCTCTGTAGTTTGAACTTCTGAGACATATGGAAAAGGTATTGCCTCAATAAATGAGTTATCTCCCTCTGAGGTTACTGAAGTCTCAAACTCTGTAGTCTTCTCAGGTAGACTGTATTGAGAAGCTTCAGCGTCTTCAAGGGACAGGTCACTTTTCTTGCTAGACCTTAAGGATATCAAAAACTATAGATTTTAGGCGTTAGACCCAAGGAAGGACTGAGTCCCAAAACAATCCCTAATATTTTCTTAAAGCAAACCTTTCATTTCTAGTCCTTCCACCATTGAAAGTCAAATGCAAAAAAAAAAAAAAAGTCTGTGAATTTTACTTTTTTAGAAATGCTTTGATCCAAGAGATAAGGGAAGATATATAACCTATTATATATAATATAACCTATTAGTATAAATCAGGAATCCTACTTACTAAGACCAGCTTCCCCAAGGTTACAAGGCAGATTCAAGATTAAACTCATTCCTTTGGTTGAAAAGGGAAGCTGTTTGACCTCTCTGAGCTTCAGTTTCTCACATGCAAAACGTTCAAGTGTCTGCTGTAACACTGCCTCATCAGAAATACCTTCTTTGCCCACTTCTCTGACAAAGCAGCTGCCTATCCATCAGTCTTCCCATTCTATCCGTTTTCTTTCTCTTCATACTATTTCTTACCACTTCACATTTTATCTAGTACAGTTTTCATCTCTTTATTGTCTATCTGCCCTATTGCTCTTGCCCCAGAAAGGACAGTTCTTTACCTCATATCTGGGCCCCTCTCCTCTTAGCTCTCTGTGTTCCCACCACCGCAATCCTTTGTTGGATCTTCGAAGGCTCTCCAAAAAACGGGTGAGGAATGTGCTGAAAATGAAGAGAAGAGAAAAAAGAAACCTGGGTAAAACAGAAAACCACAGTTTTCATTCTGAAAGGAAAGGGCCATGCTCTCCTCAGGGCAGTTATTAGCACCTCTGGATCACATGTGGCCACACACAGTGTGAGACACATTGTTTCCAAAGATTTTTTAATAGCACAGGAAAATGTTTGTAATTCAATAATAGATTTAAAAAAAAAAACTAAGATGAAATGAAATGCTCTACCTATAGCTCTATCTCTACAACATTAAAATATGTAATGAAGTAAAAGGTTGAAAGGAAATACAAGAACGCTTTCAAACACTTTGTAGAAAATGTAATTGACCTATAGAAAATAATATGACCATTGTTATTACTGCTAAGTACCATCGAGTCAATTCCTACTCACAGTGACCCTGTACAGGATTGCTGAGGAGCAGCTGGTAGGTTTGAACTGCTGACTTTGTGATTTGCAGTCCAGTGTTTATCCTATAGGTACTTGTATATCTTCTCTGCTTTGTAAATTAGTTTTTAAATTGTCATAAAAAATGAATGTATTAGAAGCAGTGATGCTTGAGATGGAGGCAGAGATGATGACGTGGAAAGACGGAGCAGTTGGGGACTTTAGACCCAGAGAGGGAGAGGGGCTGTGTGCTGATGACTTGGGGGCAGGCTTGTAGTGTATACCCTTTGGTTGGTTGATGATGCATGGAGGGGATTGTAACCATGGCAATGAAATGATATACCCATAGGATGAATGTAAAGCTAATGTTCTCCCATGTAAACTATCACATAATTCACAATAAAACATTAAAAAAATGAATGTATTTATCTTAACAAGAAAACTATAGGAGTAAGTTTAAAAGTATTGCTACTAGGGTTCTAACTCATACATGCACAGGTGTATTCCAAACAAAATGTGTGTAAACATGTCTCTGAGATCAGTGGGGGGCTGCACACAAGTTCTCCTTAGGATGTAATGAGGAGAAACAAAAGGTCCAATCACAACAGTGGCTTCCAAGGGGGTTTATGAGACCAGTAAATTCAAGGCAGAGAGGTCAGCTCAGAAAATTATGAAATGATTTTAACAGATTTTTTTCAAAGGACACAGGATGATCCCAGAAGTTTGAAGAAAATCGAAAACTGCATTGGTGAGAAAACAACCAGAAAAGTTGTGACAGAGGTATTGGCTTTTTCCCCCGACACAACGCACCTGCTCACTCTTTGAGAGTTGCAAGGGCTATCCTAGCAGAATTTTGTTGGGAAACCTTTCCCAATCCACCCTACAGCTCTAACTTCTTTTGGTTCTGAAACTCAAAGTCCATTAAAAAGGAGTACAATTTGCCTTCCTCAAAAATGGCAAAACTGGAGGCATCAAGGCAAGTGGTCGGGACCCCTCAGAGCAAACCCCCTTCCAAGACTGAGACTCAAGGGGAATACATGAGCAGGCATGTGCTCTGGTTGGTGACGTGTTGGTCACCGATAAGGGGAAGAGGGGGAGAAAACAGCAATGAAGTTGTGAGTTAAGCTAGACCACATTCAATAGACCCCTGGGAACCCGGGTGGATGCCTACATGGCCAGCAGTACAGAAAGACCCAGGGATTCCTGGGCCCAGAGGCAGCGACATGGCCACAGAGGACTAGAGCTGAGAGAGAAGCATTCAGCTGATATGAAGTGAGGGGAGATGCACAAGAACACTTATACTTGCAAGATAGTACCCACTTGACCTGGCTTCGATGGCTGGATGATCAGAACTTGACTAGAAGAAGAAAGAAGAGGGGGTGGTGGTGGAAAAAAAGAGTAACCTGCTACAATTTGACAAACTTTACCTATGCTCATGGATGTAGTAGTTCAAAAAAGGGAACAAATCTTCACAATGAGGATCACTTCCACCCCCTCAGTACACAGGGTTGACAGGGATGGGCAACTTAGACATTGGCTACCCAAAATGGGGAGAGGGGGCCTATAAAGGCAAGAAATGACTGGCTTACAAGCTTTCAAGAGGGAGCCTAGTTCCAGACTGGGCAGGGGAAGGTAGAAAAAGAAAGAAGGAAAAAAAAAAAAAAAAGAGTGTGTGTGGGAAGATAGAGTCCCCACTGAATAGTTTTCACTTTGTCTAGATGAGGCTGGTGAAAAGAGATGGGGATAAGAGTCTTATGATTCAATAGTGAGTAATTGTTATCATGCCTAATTGCAACTGTCACAATTGTAAAGGTAGAAGTTTTGGAACAAAACCAGGGGAGTACTTAATCTTACAGTCCAGAAGCAGAGGACCTGAGGGCCATCACGGGAGAAGAGCAGAAGTGGAATGCAAGATCTTATCCAGAGAAGCAGCAACACCAGAAATGGAGACAGAAATGGGGACATGGAGAGAGGGAGCAGCTGAGGACTCTAGATACATGGAAAGAGAGGGACTGAGAGCTGGGGCCAGGAGGCAGGCTTGCAGAATGTGCCCTTTGGTGGTGTTAATTATTATATATGCCTGAGTGTCTTTTTAAAAAATGAGCTAAAATGAATAGAGAGAAATACTGTTAACTGATGGCACATGGAGGGGATTATAATCATTGCAATCAAAATATATGATTTGTGGATTGTAAAACGATCTGCCCTGTAAACTTTCACTCAATTCACATAAAAAGAAAGAAAGAATGGCAAACTGTCATTTTGATGTGTAAATTTGAGAGCACAGAATTTTTCGGGGAAAGTTTAGAGAGATAAAAATAGCACTTTCAGAAGCGTATAGACCTAGAAGGGGCATATATCAAGGAACAACAGCCTCACATTTTGATTTCATTTAATAAAGCTGTCTGTGATTTTGTAGAAATCCTTTTTTAATCTCACCTTGTATGCATCTACAAGTAAAAGTGAATAATGAAAAGATGACACAGGACACAGAATCAGATGTAGGGATTCCCACCAGCCAAATCTGGGACAATCAGAGAATGAAATAATCATAAGTAACAGATGAGAACTCACAGAATAAAATTATAATTCATGCTGATATACATAAGAAGGAAAAGGTCTTCCTTACAGGAGAAACTAGTAAGTGCACAAAGAGTGATAGAAATAGAAAATCATAATTTTGAAACTATCAGTAATAACTGATTCAGGCAAAAATCATTAATGGTTGCTAACAGAAGAGGGGTGGAAGTTTAATGAGGAATATGTGTAATGACAGTATTAATGCTATCGCCACACTGTTGTTAAGTGTTGTCGAGTTGGTTCTGACTCTAGCAACCTATAAGTTGGAACCAACTCAACATTGCCTGGTTTCCAATGAGCAACTGGTGGATTTGAACTGCCAACCTTGCCTTTAGCAGTCTAGTCCTTATCCTACAGCATGAATCAAAATTCCATCTCCACACTAAATACGTATTACAAATGAAAAAATCATATGCTTTTAGTATTAGAGATTACCTTAACTAAATAATAATCCAGTCAACATCATATGCCTCCTGATATGATGTATGGAACATAACATCACATCACTTCAGTAGTTCTCCTGACAAACATGTATAATCAGAATCTAATTACGAGGAAACATCAGACAAACACAAATTGAAGAAGACTCTATAAAATAACTGTCCTGCCTGTACTCATTAAAAATGTCATAGTCATATATGCCCTTTGGTGGTATCAATTATTATATATGTCTGAGTGTTAAAAAAAAAAAAGCAAAAGTGAAAAGAGAGAAATACTGTTAACTGATGATACATGGAGGGGATTATAATCTTGGTAATGAAACAAGGTGTATGATTTGTTGAATGTAGAACTGATGATCTGCCCTGTAAACTTTCACTCAATCCACAATAAAAAACTTAAAAAAAAGAAAGGACATGATGAGGTAAGAGAGCTGAGCAGCAGATTTCAAATGACAGTTCAGGAAGACAAAGCAAAGTATTATAATGAAATCTGCAAAAACCTGGAGTCAGAAAACCAAGAGGAATGACACACCAGAATTGAAGAAAAAAATTCAAGGTTTTAGTTGTGAAATGGAAGCAAAATAACAAAGTATGCATAACATTGCAAATAACAGATATTCT